TACAGCAGGATCAATTCAGCATCGGAATACTTTCTAGTAAATACTCGTGACGCACCTTACTGCTCCTATGTTGAATTATTCAGATCTTGGATTTCACTGCGTACATAACACTCCAATGCCCTTAGCCGCGATTCGGATTACCAGATCACACTCTCTCTATGATTTTTCATTTTGGAAGAAAATCAGAGAGAACAATTCAAACAGATTCTTCAAAGCATCATAGGTGCGATGGGATGAACTTTGGTCATAGTTTCTTCTTATGTTGGTCGTAACTCATTGTGCCCTTCCGCGCACATATGTGATCCGTCGTTTCCGGACTGATTCGATAGAAACGCTCAGTTTAATACTGAATGGGTTCGAGCATAGTTTTTGTTCTCTAAGCAGCCTCCAGTAGTTCCTTTCTAATTCCTCAATTGCTACCTTTTTTTATTAGTCCTCCTTCATGATCAACTAATAAGCGTGTATAGGGCGACCTGGGACTATCAGAGTGGGGCAGTATTCTCATGAAATTATGTTTTACATCAAAAGTTTGAAAATTGTCTAGAAACGTAGAGCGACTTGTGAAGGGCTTAGTGGTATGATAAGTAAGATGAAGCGAAATTTATTTATTTATTTATTTATTTATTTATTTATTTGAGTGTACTCTAATGTGTGCCACAGACCTTGTCAATGAATTTAAAAAAACAGGAAAATAGTGCCGCTTAAAAAAGAATTCAAAATTCAAAGGGAAGGAAATACACGGGACGAGGGCGAGCGAATAGGCTGCCAGTAAGCTTTGCGGGAGGAATAAGAACCGGGACCTTTATTGGAACCAGGGAACCGGGAAGCCGGGATAGCTTTAAGTTAGGGTCTTTCTCCCGTTAGGCAGATGAAAGAGTCCACCCGCAAGATGAAAAGATTCGCACTACTATTAAACAGCTAGAAACTAATTTATCGCTATGAAATCTCAACAAATTCATCGAGCCGAGCTGTTTTCCCTCCCATTAACTGACAGAGTAGAGAGGAAGATGTAAGACAACTGTTAGGTTTCAATTGGTGGTGTCGGCTTGAAGAGGGCATTTTGCTTTTTCCCTGGTTCGCTGTCGGCTTTTCCATCTTGACTGGATATTTCTGGCAAAGAGCTTAGACTCTCTGGAGCTCCGAAACAGCACAATGACCAATATGGTTACAAGAATTTAAAAGTCTCCGCAAAGGTGTCTCTAACAGCTTTTGCTGAAGTAACCCTTTGGTGCACACACAACGTGCCGTTTCTTTCTAAGAGCACTTCGACGGAAGCCATAATTATCGCCTCTTTCCACCCACTTATTTAAGTGCACTATTATATTGATAAACTTTATAAATGATGTAATTGCCTGCACCAATTAGGAAAAATCCACTTGGCATACCTTGTCTGTGTACTACCGCTGCAGAGATCTTTTTCGTGGCCTTGATTGGCTGGTCCTTGGATAGATCGTTCATTACCTGTATCTTCTCTTCTATCGTTCTTTCTTTTGAATTTGTTAAATGACCGTAATAACTCTTCGATTCCGCCCTTTCACCTCTTGTAAATCACACTAATGTGCTCGCGCATCTGGTGACTTGTCGACGTTCGAATGAGAAGAGCATGAGAGTTCACTGAGCTCAGTCGCGTCCGCCGTGAATACCGTCCGCATCTGCGGTGATAATACTTTTTCTATAACCTTCTTGAAACTCACAAATCTCCATGCAGCTTCCAAAACCAATTTGAAGCTTTCTAGTCAACGCACATCGTACGCTGGGAGTCCGCAACAGGGGACAGATCGTGTTTGGCCGCTGGAGGGAAGGGTTTTTGACCGAAGGAAATTCTCTTGATAGCTAACTGGCTGTCCTCCTACTCCACGCGCACTCTCCAGATCGTTGGATAAGAGACAGGTAGGTAGTTGAGGAAGACAGTGAGATGTAGTAAGCAGGATGGGGAAAGGGAGGGAGAGGGGGGGTGTCGCACTGTAAGAAGTCTCTCCAACGACAGTTCGTGATCTAATGAAAACATAGCTACATATTAGTGGTTCGAAATTTTCATCAGACCTTCGTTCTCATTCCGTAACTTCCTGGTGCAAAATTTTGAAAGGGAAATCTGAGCTCGAATACTGATTACTATTTATCCCCCATTATCCAAAATTCTGGCCATATTTCGATGGCAATTTTCCCCAGGGTTACTTGGCCGAAACTCTTTCGGAGATGATCCAACCTCTGAACTCTAATATCGTATCCGCTCAAAGCGACGCTTGGCGTTCGCACCAAAGAGGGCTGCGGGACAGTTCTGGCTCCGGCGCCCATCGCGCATGCAGCGGGTGTTCTACTAATCATAAGTGTCAGCAAAGGCGGTGTTTGTGTTCATGAAGTCAGACCACCCTTTGGCAAGAGTTACCAGAATTTGGAACCTTTAGGTTCACGGTCGGAGCTGGAGGCACCTCTGGCGCCAAAACATCGCTAAACGCCTCAGACACCCAAACGTCGCACCTGAATTTCGCAGAGGAATTTCGCAGAGCGCGCCTATTGAGTGTGAGGGTTTCCAACATTTATACGAGTTTCATAATAAAAATATCGCGAGATGAAATGGTCGTTTTGGTCGTTACTTTTGAACATGTTGATGCGTCTGCCGAACCTTGCTCAGACAATGCTTTCAGATTATTCTGATTATCAAAGAATGGTACTGTACAATGTGTGATGAAGTTGGCCCTACTAGTTCATATAGCGAGCATGCTGCAATACGGTAATGGTAAGTTTACTGAATGATTAGAAGTTCAAGCTGTAGCAGTTGGAGGGGAACCACTCGTCAAGGTCCATCTCTTTCCCTAAGGCGGTGAGCGGAGGCTAAGTCTACTCACCAGGACTTACCGAGAACTATTGCGCTTTTCGACTCTGGTATGGCTGCTGCTGAAGCTAAGCACATCCTGGGGAAGGAGGAGCTGCCAATGGTCCCCTCCTCTAAATATGTTAGCGCAAAACCTTTTCTGACATTTGTGATTCCTCAGCTAGTGAACGCTGATTTCTGGCAGCTGTGAACCAATACTGATGTGAGACGTTAGGAACCTGCCACTTGTAACGAAACCACCTCACGCCGACAAAATGCAGCTGCTAACTCTGAGCATCTTTTTGGCCTCTCATTCCAGGCTTCTGGCTGGCCAAACTAAGTTCGCGCCATATCGTGGCGCGACTCACACTCTCAATGCCTCGTAGCTTTCTCGTCCTTACAGTGATAACCGAGCGCAAAGAAAACCTTGTTTTTCCGTCAGACAAAGAGAAAATGTATACTTCAATGCATAATTTTTTGAACTATGTAACTTTCCAGCTGCCTGCGGCCTTGACGGATGTTCGCAGTGGTTTCTGAGGGTGAAGCATTACGACACTCTTACTCCTGGAAATAATGAGCCATACTGTCAGGTAAGACTTGTGTGAAGAAGTATGCTGTCAGAATGCTCCAATGGAACCGGTGCTCATTTGTTTGAAGCGCTACGAATGTTCCGCGAAGAGCGAACTCGAGTTTTTTCTCTTTCATACTTTCACAGTTTCCAGTCAGCATGACAGTTTTAGGTTTAAGAAGTGCTCAATTCAAGTGCGGTTGCTTAACCGTCGAAGCAGTCTGTGCAAGTCGAGAGAATCTCCATCTTGGGGAGGAGGTGCGCGCCACAGAGGAAAGCAAGAGGATGAGCCCATCCGATTTACGGTTTTCACCACTGGTCATTTTTCTTCTCAAGTCGATTTCTAGCCGATCATTATTGGTACAGAAAGCCGCAGGCGGGCTCATTTTGCCCCTCCTGGCGCCGCCCCGACTGATTGCGGCGATATCATCTGCAGAGGAGCGGGTATTGATCGCATTTAGGAGCAAATAAAGAGATACGCGTTGTGCAAGAAGTCGTTGTTGTAGTGATCTGGCACAGTCCACATTTCGCATTTGAAGAGGGTGTGTCCACAGGACAAAGTTGTGAGGACGGATGTGGAATAGAGTGGGTTCAGGGCAGGACCACAGGGAAGGGAGGTGCACACTGAGTTTATCAAAGAGCGCAGGCGGCACAAGAGCCCCTGATGCACTAGGTCTAGTAAGCAAAAGACCTAAGCCGATACGATAAGATATCCCAAACGTGGAGGCGACTTCGTAACTGAGACTGTAGGCACGCCCCTCTAACGTTAAGACACTGACTGCATCTGTTACAAATGGACTTCACTATATTCGACTTTGACAGTCACCATCAGATTATTTCACTCCCGATTTTCAGGCATTGACCACATACTTGAGATGTCTAAACGAGACCACTCTTGCTTGTCGTGGCAACCTTCAATTCTACACAAATCTTTTTGCTATGCGAAAACAGTTTCGAGAGTTCGGTTGCGCTTCATATAAACAAAGAGAAGAGCAAACCAGGTAAGTGTTCTCGTTAACGAATAATGTCCTGGACTTTGCTGGGGAACGGCATAATTTTCTGTGCTACAATTCCATAGAACGCAGATCGGCTTAGTAGGGGCATCTCATCGATTAACTGTCTACGCTTCTCTTGTACACTGCTTATCCCAGAGATGAGTAGGCGTGGCATTTGAACATGGCGTGTACGACAGCTGTCATATGGTTCCTTGTTGGACAGAGACAAGATATAAGGTGTGGCATGTACGATAGCAATGGCATGTACGCGATAGCTTCTCATATGGTCCTTGGTTTAACAGAGGGACCAGATCACTATCGTTTCAAGTCGCGAAATATTTCTCCACAGCCGCCGCCACGTTTGGTTAAAGTTCGCAGCCACGCCTACCACATTCCAGGGATTTCGAGCGTAAACATTTCCCAGCAAACGTTGTGAACAGGAAGGGGTCTTATTTAGTGTTTCCACACCGCGATAACAATCTAATACTCTCACGATCACAGAGTCCTCTGGCTGTTCTCCCAGAGACATCGCCATGACATACGCTGATGAAGTGGGGGAGTGTAGAGAATACCGATGGCAAATCAGTTTGTAAAAGTGTGATTAAATCGCATTGTTTCTAGTGAGTAGTTACTAATTATTAAGCATCACTAACTTTCTACCGAGAGTATCACAAGCACTGATGAGAATGTGCACATTGTTTGGTGATCCACATCTTATACGATTTGATGGCACAATGCAGTCATGCACAGAAGAAGGAGCACGATCATTTGTGGACAATCGGTGAGAAGAAATGATTCCTGATTTCGAAACTTTAAAGGCAGTTGGCACGATAAATCCCCCAAGACGACTAGGATCAATACTCCTGGCAGGATAGAATTCCGCGACCCTGGGCAGGCGCTGCATAGCGGTTTCCCCGAGGAAGGTGCCCTTATAAGGGCCCTATCAAGCCACAACTTTACGTCCCAAACGCCCGCCACGCCCGCCCGCCCACAAATGGACGACTGTTCCTGACGCTCGTATTCATTCATTTGCTGAGCAAATTATTTGAAACGCGAAGGATTGGTAATGAAGCGGCCGTGATGATGCTGCATACATATGGGTACACATATGCAGCCGTATCTTCGGTAGCGGTGATTGGTAAGATGCCTACGGGAAACTCGTCCGAAATCGATTTACAAGTCACTGAGAACGGAGGCTTTTTCTTCGCAGGATTTTGACCGTTTCACTCCGTTCTTTCGCCATTTCCCACTATACAGCGCCCTACTAGCATTTTAGGCTAAGTAGGAAACCATCGTGCCAAACTGCCTTTTGAAGTTCCTCCACCGTAAAAATAGCTTTATTTGGCCTACACGCTTGGTAGTACATGGGCTTAACGCCCGACGGCAAGAAGTACTATTTTATAAATAGAACTATTTCAGGCATTTCCTTATCCAAGTCACAAACTCGAACGTTCGAAATCAAGCTCATACAACCGCTGTGAACAAAGTACGTTAACTTTTCATTTCTCTATGTGATTATTCATCGTAGTGGTAATAAATGGTAATATATAGATCACCCTTCTGATTCGCAATCACAACTGCACACCATCGCTACGCTACGAAGCCGCTTCGGACGAGGAAACGCTTCCTATTTCATTTGTTGATGGAGTCAGAAGCCACGTGACGGACGATCATCGCAAAAAAAACCACCCGTGAGGTCTGCTTTCTTCCGTCTAACCTTTGGTTCTGAGCTCGAGGGGGTACAACAGCAGCGGGTAGCGCTGAGGGTGGCGCTGATACGAGTCGCAATGTTCGGATCGAACCTCCCTCGGACAAACGGCTATTTTATCCTTTCGAGGCCTCTTCACTCGGAGATAGATTGTGTCTCATAAGATAAGTACGACGGGAGGCGGACAAGGACTGCGGCCAGGCGAGGCCAATTCTGCACCTGTCCGTCCATTGCAGCAGTGATACTCATGTGAATCCAAGCAAAGATAGGGCCCCATGGTGGGCAACATATTTCATCCGCATATTCATATCGACTAGGAGGGCAAAACGGCGTGCGTGCCGCCACGCCCACCCCGACATATGAAGACTATTTCTTGCCCCCATTTCAGAACTAGCAAGCCCCTACCCCAGCTCACTGATCTGAAAGGCTGCCAGTTCACACTCGTTCGTCAGAGTAAGAAGCGAGGCGGACTGGAGCTCGTTTCCACCTGTTAAAGGAGCGTTGTCCGGCTATGACCTATGAAATGCCAAAAGATTATGTGGGAGGTTAGCGGGGGTTCGCTGTGGATAACCTTGTGTAGTTTTGCGGCGCAAAGTTGTAAGGTAAAAGGAGTTGTGACGCAAAGCTGTCTCAGTGACACCTCCTCTTTCCAGTGACTCCGCCTATAGGGTCTGTTTGAAAGAATGAACCGAGTGTGATGCGATTCAACACGCGGTCTATCGGTCTTTTACCCGTACAACTGTCTGAGACTGGAGTGGTCCTATTAGGGGCGTTTCCGACGTTCCCTTTGGCATTTTCTCCTTACAAGCGAGTCACTTGACAAGTTGTCTTCCTCATTTCAACACCGCTAAATAAGCATATTGCATCGCGCCGTGCTTTAAACAGGTTATTTTGATTACGGGCGCCTGTTTGTCGTAACCTGGCCCACACACCATCTCGCCCTCCCCCCACCCCCAAGACGCCATCTTATGCCACTGCGACCCTGCCAATAAAATGGGTAAAATCAAGTGAGTCAGTTTTTTTCTCTTTATTAATCTAGCTTACCAACAACATTCCAGATTATCGACACCGAGGACACGTAGAGATCGCGATGGTCATCAATCCAATTCCAGCGTTCATATTAGCGAAGAGGACCGTATTTGAGCGTCTCCGTGATAGTCCCAATAAATTTGCAGGTGAGCACATTTAGATATGATAGAGGGTGCTTCGTCCTCGAAGACATCGTCTGACCGCTTACAAATTGGGCGTGAGTCAGGCCTACCATTTTTTATCTTCTACCGTTGCCCTCTAAGACAGAAAGAGGAAACCGTCAATGAGGAAGACCCAGTGAAAGGCCTGACCTCGAAAATATAACGACTGTGCTGATACTTTATTTTAAGGGTACCCTGACGGCGTCTGAATCATTGTGCACTACCGGTTGTCGGAATCGATCTATTATTGAAATTGATAAAGTCCTGGCCGCTTCGCAGTAAATATTGCCCAAAGTGCTATGCACGAAAAAAACTGCACGTCCGATTACGGCTTGCCATCGGTAAGTGTGTTACTCAAAGGTTGCTGGAGATCCGAAATGCTTCGAAAGCAGTATTGAGAGTGGTGCTGCATACGCGGCATTCGCGTCAGATTTCTAGGGATTTTTCATGAATACATTGCAATGAGCCCTGCTCAATAGCTTGCAAATGCTGCATGTGCCAAGCTGTACAGTTCCTGCATTTCGTCGCAACTCGGATCTCCTGACCCAGACCCTGTCTCAAACGATTCGCCTCTATTGATGTGCTTTAGAACGATGCAAAACTGTTAATGCCACCGACCGCTATTTTGACGCGTGTGTCTTCGATCTCATGCTCACAGGTAATGAATGAGTTTTTCTGCATGAATTTGACCTAATGGAGCTCAAAATTCGTCTTGGACTAGTGGACCTTATGTAACGGTCCTGTACGAATACCCTTTGATCCAAGGATAAGACCCCATGTAGGTTGAAGGCAATGGGCAACGATAATCTTCGCAAAGGGTATCTAACCCAGAATACGTCGCTACGAGGACAATTCTCCTACAGTGCGACCCTACTTCAAATTCCAACCCCTTGAGCGGAAGGGGGGGGGGGAAGAATGGAGGTTGAATTTCTCTCGAAAATCAGCTTCCAGAGATGAAAAAGCAAGGTTGACTAGGGGGGAGCTGGAGCGCACGAGCGACCAGTTGCAAAGCTTTTGCCACGCTAAATCCTATCTCTTTTCATAGCCGATGGCAATTCCAAGTGATGGTGCCGCTTGCCCAATACGAATCCTGTTGATAGTACCTGTAGAATAGAATCATGAATTTTTAGCAACAGCTTTATCATTTACGCATCCGATTGGCCGCGATTAGCGGGCCCGATACTGCCTTCCGGCGGGTGAAGTGTGGGTCCCGGTGAGAAGTTTTCCATGAGAGGGAGGGCCAGTCGGATCGGCCGGCTTCGCCGGTCGAATGGTCAAAAAAATGTTGTTTTGAGAATTACCGCACTTTACTGTTTCACTTCTTGTCCCCTCCCAACCGTGTGTGTGTCTCACTCATTGTTCGTTCACTCGATTTCGCCAACGTGATTGCCTATCGTTTGCCACTTTTTCCGCTCTTGGGGCTCTTTTGGAACCAAACTACGAATTTTTGAAATTTGTAGCTCACAACTGTGCGCACGCCCCGCCCACAGTGGGCGGAGCCTAGCTTAGTTCATGTGTGTTCCGTACATCTTGGCCCATGCCCTACCCAACCCACCCTTGACCCGCCCCCTCCAACTGGCTCTTCAGGTGATTCCGAATTTCCGGACAGACAGACAGACAGACAGACAGACAGACAACAGACAGACAGACGTTGCCGTTTATATATAGTAGGATAGGATCATATCATGTATTATTTCAAAGAGTTACTTTTATAGGAGATGAGTACTTGGTGGCAATGGCACGTGATGCACAAACCGATCAGAAGACACTAATGCCGGACCAGTGGTATCCATCTGGACGGCAAAATATTTCCGTTTATAAACATCACGTGAACTCTACGTTCCCTAATTGCTTACCTTCTTCCTCAAACCTCTACAACTGGCATCTTACTTATTTCTTCTTACTTGTGGCATACATATTGCTCCACGGTCAGCACTAACAGCTGTACTTGCTTACCGGGTCATTTGCGAACCCTTGTAAATAGTTACAATGCTTCAGAGCGTCGGATTGGGACGTCCCCACACGTTTTGGCGCGGCGCCAGCCTATTTCCAGCCCAGCTCAACAGGTGCCTAACTACAAGCTGGAAAGAGACCTGCGCGTTCGCCAAAACGCCGCGTGCTGCATAAACAACTTTCAGTCACTCCCCCCCCGTTCAACACTGTAACTGATGACTTGTTACTTTTCATTGAGTTGGAGTTAGAGAGCATACACTCCTTATCCACGCGGGGGGGAGACGGAGTAGGCGTGGCATTTGAACATGGCCTAGCACGGGTTACTCGCGGGACGTTTCAGTTTGAGACAACTGTTTGGCAACTTGTTCGGTGTTGAACAGAGACATGGTTACAAACTGCCCATGATAATATCTCACGATATTGCCTAGCTGCCGCCACCCTCACCTCAACGATCCGGAAGTGTACTTGTTAAGGGCGGCGAAATCCTAGTCTTCTAACCCCCCCCCGTGGCCCACACTCTGTGAAGGCATATCATAACTATTCCTAACTGTTCCTATACCATAGCTATTCTCCTGAGAATCCCTACTTTGAGTGATTTCTGACATCTCAAACTCGATTTTTTTTCATTTACACTTTTTTCATCTGAGCTCAGGCACTGTTGTAAGTCGAAACTCTCCTAATAATCACAGATAACAGGGCAACTCTATAGCTACCCCGCTTGTACTTTTAAACGTTTGCCTGAAGTTTATTGAAGAGTATCGTAGAAATTAAGTTGGATGAGAAGTCGACAGCGAAATTAGTCCACTTTCCTATCGTCTGCGCCCTCTCTGCGAGGTAGTGTTCAAAGGGATTTCGCTGATTCCTTTGAGGGCACGAGCGAGCAGAAAATGGATGGGGCCAAGTTTTGCTGCCGCTTTCCTCCTCCACATAGACGTTAACACCGGAAATCTGTCGCACTCCCGGTGAAACAATGTTGCTTAACTGTAATATTGTTCAGAATTGACATTTGCTTGATTGATCTGAATCATACTTTTTTTCCTTCCTTGTATTTCCTCAAAATTTCTAACATTTTACCATGACATCAGAACTACTGATTATTTAGGAAGTCGTGCGGAGCGTATTTGCGAGGGGGCGGGCAAAACTAACGCCTCCATTTCTTGCTCTGCGAGTAAAGACCACGACCTCTTTAGTTTTCCGCGCTCTGCTAATTAGAGAAAAAAGGGGTTGAAAGAAACACTCCAAACGGTCGGTTCGTTGCCAGCCCTCCTTTGAGACTGAGCCCTGGAGGGACATGGACATGATGACGAGTCGCCCACCTCCTCTTCCCCACCTCCGATACGTGTGCAATGAGAAATCTGTTTCATTTCGTTTAGGAGCTCCAACTTTACTTCTTTTCGTTTCATTTCGTAGTTTCATGTTACCAGATCTCTTTCGCCACGGGTTGTATGTAAGTTGTGCTACATGTTTTCATTAATGTGTGAGTAAAAATGAAAAGTTTGAATAGTTTTTGCTCTATGCCCCGCCAGTGTACATTATAGTTATCAGCGTCACCATGCGACGTCGTGCCACTTTCGATGTGTCGGTAGGTCATTCCTGCAGTCGATTTCAGAGTGTTTGTTTGAGCAGCGGAAAATCATGCAGAAGTGTAGGCACGCTGATGCTTCACAGTTCCTTGGTGAGACCAGAGCGAAAAAGGAAGGTAATAACTTTTCACTGCATTGCGGCCGAGACGTCGCAATGCTTAGGTATACCTAGGCTCGCCGTCGGTGTCCACATGTTCCATGCACAGCTGAATTATGGAACGTCGATAACCGACGTGGACTTAGTGCACACCATTATTTAGCAGATTTTGTTTCGAGTCCACTGTACGATCCCTTCCAGAAAGGCGGAACTTGGGCATGAGCTCACCGCCCCAGTTCTCGCCGCTGATCATGATCGAAACTGCTCAAGCGGGTGGGAGAGGGGGGGGGGTATAGCACATGTGGAAAGACGAAAAGTCAACAAAGTGTTAAAATTCTTTTCCAACGCCAGCCGTAAAATTTCTCTGAAAAGGGCCGGTACTTTTGCTTTTCGGCACCTCTGCCGGAAAGCAAAGGGATTTTTGCTATTTTTGCTCGAAGGGCATCATAATGCCCTTTTGAGCAAAAAACTCGTCCCTAAGGGGACTCCATGCCGGTTTTTTTTTTCGATTTTTCTCTCGTTTTTTCGCGATTTTTTCGCCTTTTTCGCTTTTGAAGGTACGGGGAATCTCGTCCACGTAGACGGATAACTCGTCCACTGCCCCAAGAGACGGAAAACTCGTCCGAAAGGCGGACAACTCAGTCCCTCAGCAAATACGACGCCTCCCCTCATAGCGTTCGCTGAGAAGTAATCGGTAACAAGAAAAAAAATTACGACCAAATACGACATCCCCCCTCCTCCCACATCCCAGCGACCAAACACGATCCTTGGGAAATCCTCAACGATGATTCGCCCTTATAGGACTGTAGAATGTGCTTTAGGTGATACATTTGTCAGAATTGGAAGAGTAAGGGTCATATTTAGCGCGCGTAAAATAGGAAAAATCAACAGCCCAAAAACGTCCTATTTGGCCGAATACGCCCCCACTGAGGATCCTCAACGTATAACGTGTTCTATATGTCGTTCTGTCGAGGTGTGTCTTTGTGACTGTGAAGATCTTAGTCGCGAACTCTCAACCCCAGTCTTGCATGTATAGTTGACTCGAAAGCGCCATCTATGACCCATCATTCTCCTCGAAAAGAACTGCTTTCTTGTTGTGTGATCGCTCCCGAGGTACAGCGGACGATATTAAAAAAATTTTATAAGCATGCCACAAAAAACCAATTAAATTCTGTGAATAATGGGATTTTCTTCATTTTTCGAGATCAGCTTCGTTCGCAGTGGTACTACCTTCAGTCTCACTCGCCACCCTCCTTTGGTTCGATTCCTTGGTCGTCTTTAGCTATTGGTGTTTTGCAACTTGGTGTAGAAACTTGTTTTGCAGTGTCACTCTCATCACCACCACCTTCTGTATTTGTCTTCTTTGATGTGTGACCTGGTTTAGTGCTTGCGTCAAGCTGAGACTTCCTATCTGTACCAGTTGGTGCTACGTCGCTTTGCTGAGTAAAAGCTGGTCCGAGGAAGGTTTCAGTTTGCGTTCCAGTGAACAGTGCGGGTGTGATTAAATACTACGTTCAAAAACATGGTTTTTTTTGAAAATGAAACGAAAGAACGCAAAAAAAGGTAAAAAAGTTGTCGTTGGTTTGAGTACCTCGCTTTCATGAATGCCCTGCTCCCAGTGCCCAGGGAGCATTTGGACCCTTGGCATCGTCAAGACACATCATTAGTTGAGGATTTTAACCGCTTCCGTCCAAAATGTGTACATACGACCCTTCCCCCCTCTTAATGTGGATAGACACGACCCCCACCCCCCACCTCTCTCTCTCGAGGGCACATCATTCATTAGGGATTTCTAGTCCGACCTGGCCAGCGGTGGTGCAGTAGGAATGTCGGTGTCGCGCAGAAGCTGGACAATAGTCCTGTCTCTGTGACCAGACATTCGACGATTGACTTCATCAACCCACTTTGTGCAGGGTGAACATCGTAAGGTTCTTGATGTTCACCATCTTCCTCTTTGGATTTCTGCACCAAATCTTCCACATTATGTTTGGGAACACTATCCTCCAAAACCATTCGTCCAATGCAGAATGAATTCAAGCAGGGCAATTTTCTTGTGTGACGTACGATCCGATAATCCATCGCCAATTTTGTCCACTCATTCAGGATTCATTTCAGTTTGTCGAGGTTTTCTTCTGTGGCTATGTTGACCAAATTTCACGAATACGTACACTCCTTATCCCTGAGCCAGGGTAGGCGTGGCATTTGAACATGGCACGGAACTGGTTACTCGTGTAATATTCCAGTCTATGACAACTGTCATCTTGTTCTGTGTTGGACAAGACACGAAAACAATTTTGTCAGGATGAAAATATCTTACCAGAGGCG